AAGACGAACATATTCAATGCATTATGATTAATATTCAAGAATCAACAAGTTTTGCATACAAGAAAGTACTGAACCAAAGCAAGAAAGATTACAAATGAGAATTGAAACTAGAAATTACTACGTTGAGGAGACCAGTCTCGGTATGGACTTGTTGCTTCAGATGATGATCTTGCAATCTTGACATTTACTGAGTCGAAGGAGACCTCAAATTTAACTGACTGGCCCGAAATTGATAGCCTTTGCATCAAGCAGGTCTTGCACATTTTCTTTGAAAGCCCAACAGTCTTCAATGGAATGACCTAGTGCCCCAGCATGGTAATCACATTGCACATTAGGATTGGAATCCATAGAACAAGGAGGAATGACATGCTTCAGTGGCTTGGGTTCCACCAAGGAAAGCTTGAGTAACTGAGAGAACAACTGGCCATAAGTCAAAGGAACAATGTCGAACACCCTCTTAGGCTTCTTATCCTTTTGTTTACCTTATTGCGTATGTCTTTGTTGATAGGTTTGTTGCCGAGTAGCACACTGAGCCAAGTGAACACGAGGAACATTCTGGTTTTGATTAACCAACCGATTTCCACAACTTACAAACGACTGCTGGTGAGAGTTTTCCGGGATTATGGGTTGTGGATGACGTGACTCTGATCATGAGATAGAACTTTGAAGAGGAGAAGGCGTAGCCCTATTCGTTGTAGCGGTTGGCATAAGATTGATTTGCACACTCAGACCTTCGGGAGTGAAGAGAATTGTCCCTGCATCAAGCAAGTCCTGGACTTGGTGCTTAAAAGCTACGCAATCTTCAGTATCATGACCAGGTGTCCTAGAATGAAAATCGCACCTAGCATTATTGTCAAAGCCATGAGGGCGTTTTTTCATGTGCAGTGAAAATTCGGAGTTTAACCAAATGCAATTCTAGCAGGGGAGGAAGCAATTGTGCATACAACATTGGAATAGGATCAAATTTTCGTTCAGGCTGTTTTGGCCTCTGCTGACGGACTTTGCTTTTTGGGTCCTCTCGGGAAGTGACAACTTGTTGCGGATGGGAGGATCCTGGAATGCACGGTTGCAGAGGAGATACTCCCTGACCTACAAGAGTCCTCAGGTTATGGGGAGGAATGGTAACTCCTATTGTGGCAGGCATAGAAACATCTTCTTTCTTCAACATTGTCCCCAAAATTTCCATAACCAAATTCAATTGAGTCTTCAACTGAGTGTTCTCTTCTTTCAGGAGTTCTTGTCCATGGACCAAATCCTGCATGTCTAGCACCACGAATCCCATTTGTTCTTTCATCTCGTCCAATTCCCCACGAAGTTGTTCCATATCTTGAATCTGACCACGAAGCGACGAGAAGTCAAGATTTGCAGCTCTGAAAAGAAAAATACTGAGTCTGAATAAGGATTCCCCCTTTTTGAATACCTTCGGAGTACCTGCTATGGATGCATGAGGTGAATGAGCGGATGCAATGCCATGTTCAAACATTTTTTTTTTGCATATAATCTTTCACATTTCCTTTTTTTGTGTAAAATAAACATGTTATGATGCAAGGTGCAATGACATAAGTTCAAAAGTTCAGCATAACAATTGTACAATCCTCTGGATAACTGCTGTATAAATCTGCTGAATAATATGGATATCACAGGATCAAAGGTTCAGAACCAAATTCAGCATACAATGGAACCAAGTACCATGATTAACCGTTGTATAATCTCTGACCAAGTAAAATATATCAGGATCAAAGGTCCGGAATATAACTAGATAACCATCCTGAATACCGAATCCAGAAAAAAAAAAACTGAGACCCATATAGTCACCAACAGAACACCATATGCATAAGTCATTGACAGAAGTCCATAACATGATCATTAGAACCACTAATCACCATCCGATAACAGTCTCCATCTGGGCATGAGTAACCATTTGAACATAGCATCAACTGTACCTGTAATGACAAATCCCTCCCCACTCACGGGTGAAGACTAGGTCAGGGTAAGACAATGGTAACTTGAAAATCATGGGTCCGCCTGAAAGTACTATGGGTTTACCCACAGACGTGGGTGCCGATAGTAATTCATTTGAACCTCATCCGAGCATGGTATATGACAAGACTGCACTAATCGGACCACGTCCTATAGCCGTCATGCCCCCACTCTATTCCTAGGGTCCTAGTGCACTCTGGCCTGGGTACTGGGCCTTTTACCTCAATAGTAACATCCCCACCCAACATGGAAAACAGAGTCCAGCATAATAGATAACAAATAGGGAAAGCAATAAAATGCAATGCAAACTTGTGCTCAGGAAAACATGTACAAATGAGTAAACTGAAAGCATAAAAATAGACACCCAAAGAAAAGAAAGCAAGAGCTAGGAGCGACTCCGGGATGGACCAGCATTTGGTCGACCTGTCCCCAGTGAAGTCGCCAGCTGAAACAACCGGCTGAAAATCATCAAAACAATGAAGTCGCCATCGAACGTCTTTTATCCCACATGTAGGGAAAGGTGAACATCGAGAAAACCTGATGAGGGAGAAGTCACGGTCTTGCGACCGAGAGATCAGGTAAGGGAGTCTGTTACGCGAGGGGAAGGTATTAGCACCCCACACGCCCGTAGTACTCTACGGTATCCACTCTTGTTGTCTATCTTATGGGTGTGTTTAATCTATGCTTACTGCCTACTATACTACTGGAGGAATGCATGCAAAAGAAAGGGGAAAAATGTAGGGAAAATAAAATTGTGCTCGCCTGGGCCCTACCCCAATGCATACGTATCCGTTTTAAGGAATCAGAGCAGCCGTAGTTCGGCTTATATGTTTTTGTTTGTTTGTATTTTCTTTAACGAACAGTATTAATCTCGCCTTTTGCCGCAACTCGACCTTTGGAGATTTACGCGTCAGCACAGAAGTGAATTAATACGCTCTTTTGAAAAGGATTTGAAAGAAAGGCCCGAGGGCAAAAAGATTTTTATGTTTGTTGGTGTTTTTGCTTGTAGATAATAGCTAGTTAACCTCAAGAGAGAGATTTTAGCCATTTCTCTATTTATTCATGAAATGAGTCTTTGAGACTTGAGTCATACCAAAACTTAGAACAAGAGAATAATAATGTCGAGAAGAAACCCGCTCATCATCTCTCAAACTTAGCCAAGACATGGTTTTTGTCAGTAAATTTTTATGTATTTTTGAAGTTTGTAAAAAAAGTTTTTTGTTTTAACTGCATATGCAAAGGAGGAAAGAAAGTCACAGGAAGACGAAAGTCACAGGAAGACGAAAGTCACAGGAAGACGAAAGTCACAGGAAGACGAAAGTCACAGGAAGACGAAAGTCACAGGAAGACTAGCCTATTTCTAAATCTAATGTTATCATACCATGCAATCTATGGGAAGTGATAAATGCGGGGTGAGAGTGGAAATAAAATATACCAAACGAGTACTAGCTCGTAGAGAAAAGTAAAAAGCAAAGAAACTTGATGATCTCATGAGCTGCTAACATCAACAAAGAAAAGAATTAGAAATCCAATGCTCGGAATAAGTGTTGAAGCATCATTGATGTGAAAATAAATCACAATCGGAACCTCAAGCATATCCGTATATCACACAATAAGCATGCATAAGACTCAAATCTCCAAAAACAAAAGTGAATCACGAGTCTCGAGTAATCGGATAATCAAGAATTAATTTCTAAAAATATCTCTTACAATCTAACATTTTTTAGGTTTTTATTATATCAATATTTTTATTAACAAAATTGTTATCTAACGACTATGAAAAGAAAAGGCTAAAGAAAAGCTAGAAAAATTTAAACAGGGGTATGTGGGCCTAAAGCAGGGTGTGTATTGTAGTAACATTGACTCGCAGGCCCAACCCAATATTTTATACCTCACCAAAAACCAACTCCCGAAAATAATGGCCATGGACCTGAATGGTGTATACCTCGGTCCACTAAGATCATACCAAGATCCATCCACCTTTTATTCAGCTTCGTGTATCTCCACTGTTATCAATAAAAGGAATTAGAAAAACACAACAAACAAATGGATGGCGTGATTGTGTTCCCAGGACTCCCAAATCGTGTGACGGTTAGACTTCAAGAGAAACAAAGTCCTCTTCCTCTTCCCTCAATGGTGCCGAATCTCACCTCCGACTCGTTCTTTCTACTTTGGTTTCATAATTCACTCGTATCTCAAACCTCTGCTCCTCTCTTCATTGTTCGTTTTTGATCCGCCTCGGTTCACACGTCTCTCTTCCATCAACCTCTTCGCGGACTAAAATTCAAGTTTCATTCTTTGACAAAGAGCATAAAATGTAGAATGAAATATTGAAGAAGGCTTACCAACCAGAGAAGGCACCCGGTGTCTCTTCGAGGGTGATGCCGACAACGAAAAATCTGAAGAAGTTTCAGGTACAATATCTCTTAACTTCTTTGCACGACTTCTTCTTCTTTTTCTTCTATTTCTTTTGTGAAAATTGTTGTGCTATGCGTTTGCGCGATTTTGTTAGTGATTTGTATGTTGGTGTTGTTGCGGTTGTCGTTGTGAGTTGTGTTTGAGTGAGATCGTAGGAGTGTGATTTGAGTTTACAGAGAGATGATTTGATGAAGATGAAGCAGGGTTTCAGAAGTAAGTAAAAATGAAGAGTGGCTTGAAGGGTGAAGAGTATTGGTTAGAGAAGAAAGAGAGAGAATTCCGAAAACTTTTTGAGTTCTGGGTGAAAAATGAAGCGTGTTGATGGAAGAGGATAGAAAAAAAAATAGTGGAGAGAGGTTGAAGTTTGAAACTGGAAAAGAGAAAGTATCGTCGTCCCCTCAAACTTGGAGGGAGTTTGGATTATATAGGTAATTGAGGGAGGAAACTGTTATGTGGGAATCAATCTGAACCATTGATTTGGATAGAGTTTGTTAGGGATTGAAGGGTGAGATTGAGAGTTGGTTACAAGGTGGTTATGCTAGTTGGGAATTCTGTTTGGAGGTAGTTAGAGAGTTGTTAATTAATCTTCTGTTTCCCATTCTTCAAGCTTCTGTCCTACAAATGATTCCTTCAGCAGCCAATTTCTTTGAGCAGATGCACATGTGACAGTACCAGTTCTGATTGAGAACTTCATCTTCTTCAATGTCCAGGCATTCAGCATGAAAAAGCCTATTGCAGCCGGAACATGGGAACAAATTCTCAGCCCTTCCACCCAAACAGGCACAACATGTATCTTTCGGATAATTCGGAGGAGCAGCATCCTTACTAAGTAAATCTTGAAGTACCCAAAACTTTTCCTGGCTACAAATCACAGCATCATGCTTCAACCTTGCCGCAATAGTGCCAAGAATATCAATTGCCATGGAACGTGAAGCAAAATCCTTGGAACTTGTCCCAGCATTCTGAATTAGTATGGCATATAGAACCTCTAGAATAGAAGCTGAAGCAGGATATTCAGGTAAATTTAGAGTGGTCAATAAATCAGTAACAAGATTCTCCATTGTGGATTTCAATTCAGAAGCATCCTGAGTCTTTACACTTGCAAGTCGCTGAAGTACACGGGTTCAAAAATAGGAGCAGGCTTCTGTTACTGCATCGCGGTATTTAGCTTGATAACTAGCATCAACCGGGATTTCCAATACAGAATTACTACTCGATGCTTGTCATAAAGAATCAGGAAGGTTAGCACTACAATGAATTGGATAAGTAAAGCAGTAATCATCTGGATCTATCTTTGCTCTGAGGTATTTTCTACATGCACCAGTAAAGAATGCAGGGATTCTAGCTTATGTGTTTCTGTAAACCTTGAATATATATCATTAGATTTTTGATGAAGCTTCCCATTGATTACTGATGCTGTTAACCAACGCAAAAATTTCGACACTAAGGAGTCATCACGAGACTCTTTTCCTAGTTCTTTTTTTGTTGACAAAAATGCGAGACTCGTTAGACCTAAACCTTTGTGCAGAATCCGACGCTAACGCAGTTGTAATTGCCCAAATGATAAAATTATGAAGCCTTTCCTGATCCATTAAGAAAATGGAAATAGGAGGTGCGCTCATAAGTATGGCTTCAAGAGCAAAATCCGGGTAAATGCCTTTTGTAGCTTGATTACACACACTGCCAGAGGAGAGATGGAATCATGTTCTGAGTTAGCACATTCGACATGTGGTAGTGAAAGGAGTGGGTTGGCCTAAAACTTTGCAAAATTGACTGGCTTTGACGACAAGCCTAAAACAAAGACATTGGACTAGTGGATAGTCTAAATTTCGACAGCATTCTCGTGGCCCCGCTCCATCTGTTCCTTAAACCCATATTTGAACGATTTGGGTGTGATAGACATTTTGTTCAAGTGTATTTTGTAACCGTTTTCTTTTCTTTGTAGAATATTGGTGTAATGGGATTGTAATGATTTTATAATGAATGTTTGATTTGGATGAACTTGAAATTTATAGTGTGAATTATTAATGACTTTGAGCTTGAAATGTCGGGTGATGGATTTTTTTGGATGGAGTTTAAATGACAAAGTCTTGAAAAAATGCTTGAAGATATGAAAGCATCAAATTTTCTTGTGGGGTGTTGTTACAATTGAATGAAATTGAATGGAATTGGATAGTATTTTCTTGAACCATGAATGAGAATGAAATTGAATGGAATTGGATAGTATTTTCTTGAATAAATTTTTGAACGCATTGTGAACTTGAATCTGAAATAACGATGAACATCTTTATAATGTGGATGAACTCCGACTTGAAATAAGACCTTGCAGTCTGTATTTTACCTTCCAAGAAAGCCATATGACCAATACTTAAGGCTCTTTGCCGACTTTAATTCAACCAAATACTTTCGAACATCTTGAACTCAAATCAAACTTCAAATCCAAATCACACTTGCATTCTAAATGAACTCCTAACTTCAATCTTGAATGACAAATAATTTGAATAGCCAATAAGATCTTGATCCTAAAAAAAATTCACAACCTTGCCCTTTTGTATCATGCCTCATATTCCACGATTCAATCCACAAGTCTCTTATCTTGACAAAGTCCTTCCCTAATTGACGACCTTAAATCATCAAAGATGGATGTAAATGATAATGAAAGAATATGATCAAGATTAATATGAAACCTTATTTCCCCTGATCTTCAATTACTTGAACATTTATCAATGAATAGAAACCCTGATTTTTAATGAAATCTTCCTTTTCTGAACCAATATTTCTTTTCCTTTACCATACTATTCTTCAAATGCAACTCGAATTCCCAACACATATTAGATGAAAATTCAAGGGAGACCTTGGTCCCAAAGTTAATTTTTCAAAGCTTACTTTAGCCGAAGTCAAAAGATCTTATCCACATATCTTTGAAATTGACCTATGATTATGCATCTCAAGGTCTCATAAGAGCTTGTAAGCCCATCAACCAGGTATGCCATGTTGAACAAACCCTGCCTTGAATGCCTTGAACCTTGAATTACCTTGCATGAATTCTTCTATGGGAAACCTACTTCAATCCAAACCTACTCACATCGCAGATAACAAATGACAATGATGAGGACAATGATTGCCTTGGTTAAGGAGAAATCTATGAATTCATATCTTAGGTCATGAACCACGCTTCACAATTCAATCCTCAGCCCTTAGCGATCGGTTATTTCAACTTGAGATTAGTGTCATAAGGAACATCTTACAGATGGATGATAAAGTCTGAATCACAGAAGAATTCCCTTGATGTGAAACCCTCACAATCTTGATTCCTCGTTTAGACGCACAGAGAAATATCCGGATAAAACATCTTTGAACCATGATTCAACAAAAACCTAATTTGATTAACTGAGGAGTAGACGATTGTCATGTCACAGTCATTAATCCTAAACAAATGACAAGCATACTTATAGGAAAGGACGTCATGATTCGAAGCCCACATATGCTAGGTCACGTCCTAGAGTTCTCGACCAGAATGACCTACAATCGGTTGTTTATCAGAAGATAATAGCCTTGCTGCTTGAGGGAGAAGAAGTCCTTTATTGGATATGAGCGCCTTAACCACTATGAAACCCTAGTATTGCACAACCACTGAACTTTGAACCTCAGAGCTATATTGAATGAAATGTATGCCATGTTAGTGACCTAATGAAAAAGATGCAGATGAATGCAAAAGTTTAAGCCAAAATAAAGGAAATTAGGAGGGAAAATTTTGGGGTGCAACACCCGCCAACAAGGATCCCCCCTTCAGAATGGGTGTTATCTATATATGGCGCCTCTAACCTAAAAGAAAGAGGTGCAATATTAGTGCTTGAAGGACTGAGTGATATAGTTACTGAGGAAGCGCTGAAGTTCGAGTTCACCGCTAGCAACAATCAAGCATAATATGAAGTTCTCATTGTCAGTATTAGCCTTGCCTTAGACATAGGAGCCAACAAATTAAAAGTACAAAATGTCTTAGTTGGTCTCTAATTAGGTCTTGGGACAATATCAAGCAAATGAGCCCTAACTGGTAAAATATATGTAGAAGTTACATAATTTATCCCCGCGTTTCCTCTCTTTTGAAGTAGCACTCGTCCCCCGTGAACAAAACTTCAGGGAAGATCTCTCGGTCAAGCTATCCACCTCGAAGGTTGCAAGATTTAATAGAACAGTCATAAAGGATAATCTTGTATCCCCTAGCATCAAGGCAGATGAATTATGACCAAACTAGTCCCTTAGAATAGGATTTCATCGAGGCTGATGAAATCGTATTCTAAGGGACCAGTTTGGACAGAAACCTTATGGGGTCAATGATCGTTTTATCTTTTAGAGTGCCAGGAAGGTAATAATTCTTAAGAGATCACTGGATGAGGGTCATTGTGAGAAATCCCTCATAGAAAGATCAAGTTGATCAGATTTTTGATAGGGTCAATGATTGTTATATCTCGTGGAGATCACTGAATGTATCATTGTGTTTTTCCTTGAGTTACTAGTGTTAGTCAGAAGACTCGAGATGATAATGGTTGCCGGTCATGTTGAAATCCTATTAAGAAAGACTAGGTAGGTCATATTTCTTAAGGGGTCAATGGTTGATGATCATTGGTCAATTGTTAGTCCCCGGCGGGTAGCCCGTGCATCTGTAGTTAGTTTGGTTAAGATGGGTTAAGTCCTTGTTGAAGTCAAAATCACCTGAGGAGGGTGGATAGGAGTAGCCTAGTTAATGGTGAACTTGGATAACTGAATGTGTCTATTTATATTTATTGCATGCTATATTATTTCATAGTTCAATCAAATAATTTTTTAAAGGTGAATATTTTCTCAAAACCCAATTCAAACCCCCCAGATCCAGTTGGATGTCGCCCATATTATACTATCTAAAGTCAGGCGAACTCCTGCTAGATGAGGTTCTCAATTTCAAGTATACTTTACTCTTAGGAAGAATTTACATAATGGGGAAGGCTACTCCCATGTTGATGTGAGTGGGTGAGAGCGATATCACCCTAGTACTTTCAGAAGTTAAGAAGGGAGCTACAACAGTCACACCAGCGAAAAAGCTCTCACTAATAAGTTAATAAGGGCAGGGAATTGTTGTAATGCCCTAACGTATTTTATTTATTTTCTGTAATTTAATTATGTGGTATTTGGCGATTATATGGTATTGTTTGGTGTTTTGGTGTGTTTGGGGTAGCCTTGGTGTGGGTTAGTGGCCTTAAGAGTAGAATTAAGGTGTTGTGGGTTTGTGAGCAAAAGTGTAGAACTTGGTGGTGTAGTGAGTAAGACTAATTGAATTATATTAGTTAATAATTATTTAATTATTTAATATTAGGTGGATATTTATTTAATTAAATATTTGATGAAATTATTATTATTACTATAATTATTATTATTATTTAATTAGTTGGATTAAGTTATAATGATAATATAATAAAATAATAGAAAATATAAGTTGAGGAGTAGAAACTGATAAATCGTGAAAGTTTGGAGAAAAGAGAAAGGAGAACTAGGGAAATGGGAAGAGAAGAACACAATTGTCGAGAAGCTTTTGCAAGAACTCTAAGGTAAGGGTGGAGTTCTAATTCTCTAAGGGTTTCTTTGATGAGGGTGGGTAGATTATTTATATGCTTGGTTTGTATTTTCTTCTCTCAATATCATGATCACCGTTGCAATTTTGTAATTGTTGGATTAATGTTGTGGATCATGCAATTATATGTTGTTTGTTGCATTAGATGTGTTAGAATGGTGTAAGATGATATTGTAGTGGATGATTGAATGGTAAATTGTGTAACGCTGGTATTGAAATTATGCATTTAATGGAAATTGTTGATGTTTTAGATGTTGTGCTATTGTGTGTGGTTGTGAGTCAGAGTCGGAACTAAGTGTGATCGGTGGATCTGGAACTGACTGTTTAACGCTGGTTCGCGAAATGTCGCGGAAGCAAGAGTCGCCACCGTCTTTTATTTTCTCCAAATGGAAAGGACAAAAGCACAGAAAAATTCCTTATAGAGATTGCTCTCGGTTCGGGAGGTAGATTTATAGA